GAAAAAAATAAATTATTTGCTCAAGATCACTCTGAAAATTAAGGGTAGAATTTGAAGACACAGTTTAACTCCTATTTCCTTAAACATCTCGCATAATAACCTCTTCAAGACACGGTAATGTGGATTCACTTCAGATTATATGTCAAATAAATGGATCAGATGAACTGTTATTTGGTATAAATGAATTTTAAGATTCTAGAATCTAGGATGTGGTATCGGGGGCAAGCTTTTTCTCTTTTTACTCTATAATCAAAACTCGGGAAGATGACCTTGTGAACATTAAGGTGTGGCACCAATTGAACAAAGATTACCTTTAAGCATAATTACTTCACTCAAACTCTCAATAGTCTTATATAGGTAACCACATGATAATTCTTATTTAACTGCATTGTTCTGAAACCTAACCAGTATAGTTTGGGTGGATTAAAAATTAAAATAATGGTTACCATTTGTTTAATACCTATTTCATGCTAGACTTCTACTATACAATAACCTTTAATACCACAGTTCTGTGAAGGCAAATACTAATATCTCCATTTAACACATAAAAATTAGAAGTTAGAAGTTAAAAATTTGCTTGAGCTCAAGAATGTTTTCCTATTTCCCAAATTGTACAATGAAAATAATTATTTCAATGTACCAAGTAGTGTACATTTATTTTGGTTTTTTTTGAAGATTTATTTATTTATGCATACAAGAGCTGGGGTTCAGGCCAGAGATGCAGGGGGTGAGAGGATTCACCAGAGACAGAGTGGGGAACAGAACAGGCAGATCTACTGATATACACTGCTGAGGGAGCAGCAGGCAAGACAAGAGAGGTCTGCTGTGCCATGTGGGTCACCTCCCTGGCCAGGGATTGAACTCATGCTGCAGTGGCTGTGGATAGCTTCATAGTGCTGCGTCTTAACCCCTTGCGTCACCAGGGAGGCCCCAAAGTAGTGTACATTTAATTGTCACAACTTTGAGTTCTGTCAATCTTCCTTGTCTACTTCAAACAAAAGCAATCAATTATTTTAACGACAAAAAAACAACAACCGAAAAGGGCAAGTCAGAGAGTACCTATCTCGTAGTGAAACTCATATGTACTTCCCCAAAACAATGGTCTGCAACCCACTACATAGGTTCTGGAAGAACCTCCCTCCACTTGTGGGGAAATATAGCATCCCTTCCTGCTGGAGATGAAAGGCATTTTGGGCCCTGTACTTTGAGGACTATACTTGTAAGGACACTCTCTTCCAGCTTACTGACCTCATTCTAATAAGGTCTCTATAATATTTTTTTAACATCCTAGAAGGATTTACCTTCAATTTATGAAATCCGGAGGGTGTAACGATAATCCTATTCTTTCACAAGTAAAGAGAGGAGGAAACAAATCAATCAACAAATTCATAGTACAAAAATAAAATCCCCAAAGGAGGGTCTCCCCTGGTGGCGCAGCGGTTGAGCGCTGGGCTGCGAAGCTGCCCGCAGCCTCTGCAGCACCGGTTCCATCCCCGGCCACCTGCGAGGGTCCCACATGGCACGACAGCCTTCTCCTGCTCCCCTCACCAGTGTATTTCATCGGTCTGCCCGCTCTGCTCCCCGCTCTGGCTCTGGTGAATTCTCTCACCCTCCCGCACTTCTGACTGTACCCAGTGCTTGTATAAATAAATAAATAAATCTTAAAAAAAAAAAAAAAATCCCCAAAGGACAATTGACGATGTCATTGAGATTAGATTTACATATAGGAAAAGGTTGAGGAAATGAAGTGAGGTTAAGGACATATCAGAATTGCAGGTAGATTTGATAGAGTTAATGGTGGACAGTGAGCGGGGCAAGGAGATTCTTTGCCGAAAGAAGACATTTTATCCGCCTCATCTGACAGTGAATGGATGTCACTGCACATAAACATCTAAGGAGATCACCAAACAAGACCTTAGAGTTTCATCCAGAGGCCAACTGAATGCATTTATCTTTCCTGTATTTCTCCTCAAATACGTAAATACGCGCCTCTCATCATTTCGCCTGTATGACTCCCACTCTTCCCCCCCACCCTTTACTTCCAAACCAGCCCCTTTTTTCTCTTTCCTGACTCATCCTCCCATTTCTCTAAAATATTTTTCCACTGTGCCTTTTGGATATTTGTTTCCATTATAAACAAACTCCCCCGCATTCTTTTCCATAATCTCCCTCCCTCATTGCTTTCTTGTCTTGTTGTAAATTCCTACTCCTGGTATTATCCTTTTGAGTTATCAGGTTCTTGGTCTCCTATTATTCACACCTCATAAAAGATGGAGACAATTTTGAGTTTTTCTCATTTCCATTACTGTCAGACCAGTATTCCTCTCAGATGGGTAAAAATATCTCTACTGCTTTTTCCTTGTCCACTAGTTTGTGTGTCTTATTTACATGTATAAGAGCCTGCACCACTTGGCTTTTGTCTACCTCTGCTCCCATATTGTGCCAGCAGCATGATAATTTCAATTTCTTTTTTTTTTTAAACTTATTTATTTAGGACCTCCCCTGTGGCGCAGCAGTTGAGCGTTGGGTTGCGAAGCTGCCCGCAGTCTCTGCAGCGCTGGTTCGATGCCCGGCCGCCGGGGGAGGGTCCCACATGGCGCACAGACCTCTCCTGACTTGCCCGCTGCTCCCCTCAGCAGTGTACTTTGTCACTCTGCCTGCTCTGCTCTCTGCTCTGGCTCTGGTGAATTCTGTCACCCTCCCGCGCTTCTGACTGTACCCAGTGTTTGTATAAATAAATAAATAAATCTTTAAAAAAAAAAACAACAAATTTATTTATGTATACAAAAACTGGGGTACAGGCCAGAAGTGCAGTGGGTGAGAGGATTCATCGGAAACAGAGTGGGAACAGAACAGGCAGACTGACTGAAATACGCTGCTGAGGGGAGCAGTGGGCGAGTCAGGAGAGGTCTGCTGTGCCATGTGGGTAGCTTCCTGGCTGGGGATTGAACTTGCACTGAAGTGGCTCCGGACAGCTTCATAGGTTGCATCTTAACCCCTTGTGCCACCAGGGAGGCCCTCAATTTCTTTTTTTTAATATTTATTTTATTTATTTGTGCACGCAAGAACTGGTGTGTAAGCCAGAGGTGCAGGGGGAGGTGGTGAGAGGATTCACCAGAGACAGAGTGGAGAACAGAACAGGCGGACTGAATGAACTACACTGCTGAGGGAAGCAGGGCGAGACAGGAGAGGTCTGCTGAGTCATGTGGGTCAGCTCCCTGGCTGGGGATCAAAGGCGTGCTGCAGTGGCTGGTGATAGCTTGATAGTGCTCAGACTTAACCCCTTGTGCCACCAGGGAGGCCCGATAATTTCACTTTCTTTTGGAAGAACCACTAACCCCGTAACCTCACACTTTCATGACTTCCTCAACTCAGGTGACATATATGTTCACTCCTGTTCAGCTGGGCTCACGCATGAGTATACTAGAAACTGCCCCATATTAGAAATTGCTGACTTCAATGTACTTGCCGTTCTCTATCTTCCATCTCTGTCCACATCTCCCATGCTCTTTTACTACCACTGTTCTTACATAATACAAAGACCTATAGGTTCTCCCCACCACCCAAATTCATTGAGGTTTGATTGACAAATAAAAAGAGAGGTCTATAGGTTCGTTTTTTTTTTAAAGATTTATTTATTTATTTATTTACACAAGCACTGGGTACAGTCAGAAGCGTGGGAGGGTGAGAGAATTCACCAGAGCCAGAGCAGAGAGCAAAGCAGGCAGACTGATGAAATACACTGCTGAGGGGAGCAGTGGGCGGCAGGAGAGGTCTGCGCACCATGTGGGACCCTTACCTGGTGGCCGGGGATCGAACTGGTGCTGCAGAGGCTGCGGGCAGCTTCGCAGCCCAGCGCTCAACCGCTGCGCCACCAGGGAGATCCAATCTATAGGTTCTTGATATGTCTTTCACCAACTTAACAGCCCCATCGTTGCCTCACTTCCTTCCCTCTCTAGTCTGACCTCCCTGGTTTATCATCTCTACTATTCTTTTTAGAGCACCCTTGCCTCCCTCATACCCTTTCCTTCTTCTGTCAAAGTTGATAGCAAAATACCATTCCTTGAATAAATTCTATGTTGTTGTTTCTGTCCCCATAGCAAGAATAATGAAGAATGCCAGCCTCCCTGGTGGCACAAGGGGTTAAGTCTCAGCATGATGAAGCTATTGGCAGCCACTGCACATGAGTTCAATCCCTGGCCAGGTTGCTGAGCCACAAGGCGCAGCAGACCTCTCCTGTCTCGCCTGTTGCTCCCCTCAGCAGTGTGTTTCAGTAGGTACACCTGTCCTGCTTCCTACTCTGTCTCTGGTGAATCCTCTCATCCCGGCACCTCTGGCCTACACCCCAGCTCTTGTATCATAAATAAATAAAATTGAAAAAAAAAAGATTAATGACGAATGGTAGGAAGATAAGTGCTGCTAAAATTTCTGAATCTGCAGGCTTTGAGTATATACTTGAGAATCTTGTTCCTTACTCTTGGTTGGTTCCTTTCCTCTTCTCTACTACCATTTCATGCTTCTCCACCAAAAGCCTACTTAAAGGCAAAGGCTACTCACTCTGTAGCTCCGTCTTAGTTTTAAAATCACTTTCTTTCTTTCTTTTTTTAAAGATTTATTTATTTATGCATATAAGAGCTGGGGTACAGGCCAGAGATGCAGGGGGTGAGAGGATTCACCAGAGACAGAGCGGGGAACAGAACAGGCAGACTGACGAAATACACTGCTGAGAGGAGCAGCGGGCAAGTCAGGTAAGGTCTGCTGCACTATGTGGGTTGCTCCCTGGCTGGCCAGGGATCAAACTCCTGCTGCAGAGGCTGTGGACTGCTTCATAGTGTGGTGCTTAATCCCTTGCGCCACCAGGGAGACCTCTTAAATCACATTTATGTATGCATTTATAGAGATCTTTCTTGGTCAGTTTTGATCATTTTTATTTTTCCCAAATCTTTCACTTAGTCCATATTTCCAATATGATACATATTTCTTTTAATTTATACCTGCAGAATGAAAGTGACTGAATGATAGAAAAAAAGCTGAGAAAAGATATAGAAGAAAAAGACTACATTGCCCCTCCCCCCATTTTGACCCACCCCTGTCTTCAGGTATTTGAGCTAATAATTCTTTTTGACTTAAACTACTTTGAATTGGATTTCTGTCATGACCAAAAGTACTTTATCTATATATAGTAATAGTCTAGCTCTTGTGTGTGCTATGTTTATCCCTTTCTTTTATGCTTCATAATAGAGTCGCAGACCTGATGCATTTACTTATTATTCATATTTGAGTGAGGATAATATCCCACAAACTAAGAATGGGTTTTACATTTTTAATGATCACTTTTCAAATATATATAAGCACCTACTTTTCAAATATATGTAAGCACCTACGTAAATGCTTTGGTTATGTCTCTTAGTCCACAAAGTCTAAAATGCCTTTCTAGCTCTTTAAAAAAAACTTTGGACTTTGGGGCCTCCCCTGTGGTGCAGCCGGTTGAGCACAGCCTCTGTAGCTGAGGTTCGATTCCTGGCCGGCCAGGGAGATTCTCACATGGCACGGCAGACCTCTCCTGTCTCCCCTGCTGCTCCTCTCAGCAGTGCTTTCGGTCTGTCTGCCTGTTCTGCTCCTCACTCTGTCTCTGGTGAATCTTCTCACCCTCCCACGCTTCTGGCTTGTACCCCAGCTATTGTATAAATAAAAAATAAATCTTTAAAAAAAAACCAACTTCCGACTTAGCCAACCTCTGATTTAGATAGACATGATAATTGACTAAAAATATTGTGCATTTATTTTCCTTGGGTCCCTGACTATTTACCTGGTTGCTGTTGAAGTCTTTCATTATGTGAGTTTAAATAACCAGTTTGGCATTTTAGCATCCTGCACAAGATTTGATAGGAAGTCAGAGTCATCTCGTCCAGAAGTTTGCATTGGTGGACTTTTCCCCATTGTTTGTTTAAATTGCTGCACCAGGTAATAATCTTTGGTATCTGGTTTTCTATTTGACTAGGCTTCTGCTTCAGATACAGGTTATTGACTTAGTTTTTGGCTGTTTTTAAGTTAAGGGTCATTGTCTCATGGAATGAGTCATTTGCCCCCAAGAATAAGGAAATGTCTGCCAGTACTGAGATGATCTACCTGCTTTAATGAGATGTGCAGTCAGGGAAAGATCTCTTCTTAAGTTTTTCTGTTTTTATAATCTCCTTTTTCTTTTTTTTTTAAGATTTATTTTATTTACTTATGCATACAAGAACTGGGGTGTAGGCCAGAGGTTCAGGAGGTGGGAGGATTCACCAGAGGCAGAGTGGGGAGCAGAATAGGCAGATCTACTAAAATACACTGCTGAGGGGAGCAGCGGCAAGACAGGAAAGGTCTGCTGCACCATATATGGGTTAGCTCCCTGGCTGGGGGTGCCGCAGTTGCTGACAATCGCTAGATAGCTCTGAGACTAACCCCTGCACAACCAGAGACGCCCCTCCTTTTTTTCCTTAATTTCTGTGCAGCTACCTTCAGATATTGTTGATCAGCAGCAGCAGAAAGAGTTCCTCCAAAAGGCAGCTGTTACTAGAAGATCTTCTTTCTCAATTCCAAGGTATTAGTGGGAATCTTCCAGGATTTCCTTTCTTAGTTTCCATGAAAGTGTATCCTTTCTTAGTTTCTATGAAACTGCACTATTCTCTTGGATTGTATATAGTGTTTTTTCTTACATTGAATCCCAGGTGGTCATTATCTAGCGGAAATTCTTCCATGACCGCTGTATATATATCTGTCTCCCTTTATTGCTTTATCAGTGATGTACATTGTCATCACTGATGTTAATTTTCTTTTGATTATTTAAACCAGTTGCATGGAGATAGAGGGGTGGTTGTATATTTCTTTTTACTCACACTCAATCATTGCAGGATAACAAAACTCATTAAAGACAGGAAATAAATCTTGTCAGACTACCATCTGGGACCCCAAAAAGACACAATTCATGTCTCAGCAGTAAAGTCGTGAATGACATGGACACAACATGTACTGATTCTCAGGGGAAGAACTGAGAGTCTGAAGAGGAGACATTATAGATTGGCACTACGAATGCCAGGTGCAAAGTCCAGAATTAGGAAGAATTAGTTCCTCAGATAGCCCATGTTGCTTTTCCCTTTCCCATAGGTAGCAGTGATTGGATAGAGAACACATCTTAGATGAATTAAAAACACAGAACAAGAGGAATAAGCTGGGATTTATCCCAGCAAGGGCTACTGTACAGTGAACTTAACAATACTCTCAAGTTATCACCTTCTATCCAGGTAAGCTATCCGTAAGTGATCTTCTATGCACAGCAGGCTAGTTGGATGCTCTCTATGAAGTGGGTTTCAATAACTTCTAGACATTCCATTTAAGGCAGCGATACACCTTAAGGATAACTGGAGTATTCTACATCAGAATAAGCTTAAGTCATGATGTGATGGAGACTCACAACCCGCCCTTGAGTTTGGTGAAAACAGGACAGACTTTAAATAAAGACTCTACTACATAGATGTATGATACATGAGAAGAATCATGTTTTGGAATGAGCTTGCCTTGAGATCAGTATCCAGAATAGCAAAGCGAGGACCTCAGTGAACTCTCATTCCCACAAAAAATAGGAAAAGAAGGGGGAGGAGATGGAGAAGGAGGAAAAAGTGGAGGAGGAAGAAGAAAACAATTAAACTCTGGCAATTCAGAACTTTGAAAATTAATCAAAATAATTTAGGAGAAGCTACCTAACTCTGGCAACAAAGAGGGATTCTGTGATAGTTTAGCTTGCGGATGGGAAGCTAGTTCCATCTGCCCTTCCTCCCAGCTCAGTTTTGTGGTAGTCATAAAAGCCAGCTGTATCAGTGGCGAGGACTGACCTCTTGTGGAGCTTAGTTAAAAGCACCAGCCCCAGGGCCTCCCCGGTGGCGCAGCGGCTGGGCGCTGGGTTGCGAAGCTGCCCGCAGCCTCTGCAGAGCCGGTTCCATCCCCAGCTGCTCCCCGGCCACCGCAGGAGGGTCCCACAGACCTCTCCTGCCGCCCGCTGCTCCCCTCAGCAGTGTACTTCGGTCTTTCTGCCTGCTCTGCTCCCCGCTCTGGCTCTGGTGAATTCTCTCACCCTCCCGCGCATCTGACTGTACCCAGTGCTTGTGTGTATAAATAAATAAATAAATCTTAAAAAAAAAATTAAAAAAAAAAGCACCAGCCCAGACAGTCAATATTTTTTCTGAACTTGCAGTTGTCTCGCAAATCTCTATTTGTAGAAAGTTGCATCTGTTTAATTTGACTCAGAACTCAGTTCAGCAGAAAAGAAGCCCCACTCCTGGGGCATTATCAGAATAGCCATCTACTGGCAACATTGCCGCTGCCTAAGGCTCTGCGTTTAGCTGGGGTTGCAAGAGACACACTGGGAATTTAAGAGAATATATTGGAAAACTAGGTAATCATTGGGAACTTCAAAAGTGACCCGTCATCCCACGGCATCTATAAGGTGACTCTACAAGGGTATGCACATGCCCGGGAGAGACATGGTCGTGGAGAAGCCCCTTTTCTCGTTTCTGTCTGACTTTAAGGCTCTTTGCAAGCAGAAAAATGGAAACGCAGGCAGTCTGGTGAACTGCATTGCTTCTCACACAGATTTCCTTGATAGAGGATGGAAGACATAAAGATGAGGTATTTAAAGATATGATGATCTTTGGCTTATCACTATTTATACTGAAGAGTGATGTCTACAAACACTGAACTTTAAAAACTTTTTTTTTAAAGCTCACAGAGAACTCAGTGGCCACATACTGCAGGGAATATGGAATCTAGTCTTTAAAAGTTGTTATACAGATAATCATCAACAAGAGAAGAAAAACAGCAACAAACCCTTGAAATTATGCCACATGTAGAATGAAAATAATAACCAACAGAAAATGTTCATGAGGGGATCCAGATTTTGGAATTATCAGGCAAAAAAAAAAAAACCCATCAACTTCATACATATAAATATATCCAAAAACTAAAGGAAACTATGTCTAAAAAACTAAAGGGAAGTGTGGCAATAGTTCACCATACACACAATATTAGTAAAGGATGGAAATCAGCTCTCAGTAGAAATTCAAGAGTTGAGACACACAATAACTGAGATGAAAATCTTGTGGGAGCTACACCTTCTCTCAGTAAAAGGTGTTAATTCCTCCTTGGGCCTTTCTCAGGGATATTTGGGTATTCTTATGACATGGTTCTTATGACATTGTTGTCAGTTCACAATAAGCTGTACAAAGTCGGGAATCATCTGGGTTCCAGGTTTTTTTTTAAAGATTTATTTATTTATTTATTTATTTATTTTTCTACTATTTTTTTTTATTTTATAGAGGCATGTTTTATTTATTTATTTATTTGTTTGTTTGTTTGTTTGTTTTGTTTATACAAGCACTGGGTACAGTCAGAAGCGCGGGAGGGTGAGAGAATTCACCAGAGCCAGAGCGGGGAGCAGAGCAGGCAGAAGGACCGAAGTACACTGCTGAGGGGAGCAGCGGGCGGCAGGAGAGGTCTGCACACCATGCGGGACCCTCCTCCGGTGGCTGGGGAGCAGCTGGGGATGGAACCGGCGCTGCAGAGGCTGTGGGCAGCTTCGCAACCCAGCGCCCAAAAGCTGCGCCACCGGGGAGGCCCTAAAGATTTATTTATTTATGCATACAAGAACTGGGGTGTAAGCCAGAAGTGAGAGGGTGTCCCCAGAGTGGGTGATCTGAAAAAGTCCTGTATACATTCCCTTTTATAGCCTAGTCTCCAAAGCCACGGATGGTCTCTTCCACAATAAACACTGCTCACAAAGCTCAACTTACATAGTTTAGGAAAGGAGAGTGGACAATGTGACATGCTAATTATTAATGTAATTAGCCTAGTACCTGACCTTTATTCCCTATACTTTAGTGCCTAGTAGCTGAACATTTATTTCATATACTTTCCCAAAATATCTTATTATCACAATAGCTAGGAACTTGGCCAACATGATACCATGAACATCAAATATTTTCCTCTTAATGATGGTATCATGATTCATTTGGAGGGACACAGAAAAGATAGGAGAAAAGGTATCCAAGGCTATTTTGGCTAGTTTGTGTGCTGAATGTGTAACAGGGTGGTCCCCAGGAAAGGGGGAGGTCCCAGGTTCCCTGCCCCACCCAAATGGAAGGTGGAGCTGAGCAGGGAGAGAAGAAGCTGCAGAAGAGACTAAGGAAGGAAGCAGGATGGAGCCAGGAGGAGACCTGGAGGAGGCCCATGGAGCCTAGAGACACGTGAAGAAACTGCGCTTGCCTTTTGGTCTTGGACTGGGTGACCCAGATGTGGGTGAGACCCGTGGGGAGGTGACAATGGCAGCTTTTATCTTAATTTTGATTTTGCTCTTTTCCTTCTGGGCTTGTCTGGTTGTTTCTGACCCTTTTCTGAGGGTCCCCACTGGAAGATGCTTTCGCCTTGTGGCAGGCTTTGGGGCCTTGCTCTGGGCCAATCCCATTTGGATGGAGTTTTACCCATGAGGGGACGGGTAACATTGGGTGCTTGATTTAGAAACTATATTCTTTGCCTTTTCTGTATTGTTTCCTAATTGTATTAAAGTTCCTTCCCATTAAAGTCTCATATGTTTTGTGTTGATGCGGTGGATGGCAGAACCCATTTAGAATAGGCAGGTTTGCGGGAATTGGGCTGCCCCTCTCCCTGCCCTGTAACAAATGGACCGGAGTGAAGGATTTCTTTAAATCAGCCCTACCTGGCCCACAGTCCTATCCATTATCAGTGACTTTGTTACATCTGGTTCTTATACAAGTTCTGTCCACCAGGGGGCATTTTCAAACTAGAAGGTATGAAATTATGTTGCAAGAGTCACTCTTGCCTGATTCTGGAATGATCCAAAGTTAGAAAAATGACATCCAGTTTCAGAGAGGGTGTGCCCTTTCTGAGGAAACCAGGCCTTTTGAGGACACTAGTTAGTAGAGAAGAAAAATATTACATCTTGTTTCAGGATGCAGATTGTTGCCAGTTCACAGTGAGCTGTACAAACTTGGGTATCATCTGGGTTCCAGGTTTTATATGTTTTAAAGATTGATTTATTTATGCATACAAGAACTGGGGTGTAAGCCAGAGGTGAGGGGGTGAGAGTATTCACTAGAGAGAGTGGGGAGCAGAACAGGCAAATGTATGGAAACATACTGCTGAGGGGAGCAGCGGGCGAGGCAGGAGAAGTCTGCTGCTCCATGTGGGTTAGCTCCCTGGAAGGCCTGAGATTGAACTCGCGCTGCAGCGGCTGACAGTAACCTGATAGTGCTGTCCTCAACCCCTGTGCCACCATGGAGCCCTCGGTTCCAGGTTTTAGTACACAATGAACTTAATCATCCTTCTGCTTCTTAGAATTGTAGGCAGGTTCTAGTTGGTTAGGAGTGCCTGGGCTTCCCTCTTCGTCTTGACATTAGGTCTTATATTTTGATCCATAAAGAAATTACTTATCACAGAAATCCTAATCTACCAGAGTGGTTGGGGACATACCAACATTGAACTTTTTACTTATCTCTACCAAATGAACAAGAAAACAAAGTCAGCCTTCTGCACATCAGATTGCTGGTTTGTTTATGGGATTGTCTTCTGCCAGAAGACTCACCCACTAGGCAGAGGAAAGGTGTATGAGCAAACTGTAATTCATAACATATCCGCCACAGAACTGGCCACCAGTGATCTTGGGTCGGTGCAGATTCTACCTCCCAGGAATTACAATCTTGACTGAAGCCATATAGAAGCAATTTAGAAGGTAGATGACTTATGGCAACATTCTAAAGAGAAGTTTTGTGAATTCCCTGGGCTATTATTATTTGCAATCTAAATAGGACAAAGGTAAAAAAAAAAAAAGTTATCTGAATTGGAACAGGAGAAATAAAACTACCTATGCAACTCAAGTGTCCATCAAGAGATGAATAAATAACCAACATAGTATACAGACAGATAATGGAATATTATTCAGTTATAAAAAGGAATGAAGTTCTGATACATGATATCAGATGAATGAACCTTGAAAACATTATGCTGGGCCTCCCTGGTGGCCCAAAGTGTTAAGTCTCAGCACTACAAAGTTATCACAGCCACTGCAATTTGATCCCTGGCCAGGGAGCTGACCCACATGGCACAGCAGACCTCTCCTGTCTTGCTCTGCTGCTCCCCTCAGCAGTGTATTTCAGTAGATCTGAGCCTGTTCTGCTCCCCCTTCTGTCTCTGGTGAATGCTGTCACCTCCCTGCAGCTCTGGCCTACACCCCAGCTCTTGTATGCATAAATAAATATTTTTTTAAAAAAGAAAACATTATGTTAAGTGAAATAAGCCAAATACAAAAGGACAAATATTGTCTGATTCCACTAAAATACAGTAGCTAATGTAGTCAAATTCATAGAAACAGAAAGTAGAGTAGAGGTTACAGGCACTGAAAAAAGGGGAGGATGAGGAGCTATTGCTTAATGGGTAAGTTTGTTTGGAGTGAAGAAAATATTTTGGAAATAAATGGTGGTGATGATTGCACAATACTGTGATTATAATTAATGCCACTGAATTGTACACTTAAAAATGATAAAATATCAAAATAAAAAGAGACTACTATTTTTTCCAGGGTTTGTAAGTTACTTCAACAATTAACTATTTCTTATTTTCTTTGCATATAGCAGTAACTTTCTGTGTTTAAAATCAAAGGAATTTAAATGACATACTTCTATTGCTATCTCATTCTTTGCAGATCAGGAACCTTGAGTAGTCATCACATCAGCCTTATATTCATAGATTTTAGAGATCTACAATGTCAATTCGACGACAATGGATAGAAGCTTCCATGGGAAGTGTGTGACTTCTTGAAAAAATATGGAAGAAAAATGAGTGACTATTTTGACCTTTAGTTTTATGAAATTTCATATAACAGAATCTGCATTTGTAATCCTCAGTTTTAGGAATTACATGAAGAAAGATGAGGGAAGAGCCTCCAGCAGAAAGTCTGACTATAGGAAATATTAAGACACAAACCAGTTTTAATACTGAATTGGCAGAAGGTAGACTAAATTATCTAGAGGTGATGGAGGAGGGGGGTTTGTTTAGAGAGAAAGGCTTTTTCGATTTTACAGTTGAAAGAGACATGTGAGAAAATCCTTTACTTAGTCTTGGAAAATAGGCAGTCTATCAATGGTTACTATCTCAGAAAAGACATATGGGACCCCACAAGACTTAATAAAGTAGGAGTCAGTTAGTGTTCCTGGATGTTGCTGGAATGATCTCCAAAGGAGCTGGATATGCCCCAGAGGGAGCCAAAGTCCAGATACCCTTAAAAGGTACCCTCTGAAAGCAGCAAATAAAGAGCAAGGCTGGTACCAGGGAAAGCTAAGTGTGCATTTAGTGTGCACAACTTAAGGAGGCCCTTTCTCTCAGGGGCCTGCAAGTGCAGGTTGTCTATAAAATATAAATGTTTGCTACAACTCAATCTTGAGGCCCCATCATGCCTGAGGCAAAAAACAATCTTGTCAATTTGAGGGAAACAATCCAATTATATCTCAATTTATTAAAATGCAGTATGTCTAGGCTTGTTTCTATCTGGCATTTCTTCTCTTTGGAGTTTAAACTCCTACAGGGGAGGATGGGAGTGTATTTGTGAGGGTGAGGAGAGGTGGTCGTAGTCTCAGTTTCTACCTGTCTGGTCTACTTTTGACTGGTTTTCTCTACTTAATGGTTTTTTTGCTTTACAATACAGCAACAGCTACCTGTCTGGTCTTCTTTTGACTGGCTTTATCTACTCAATATTTTTTTTTTTTTGCTTTATAATACAGCAACAGCTTTTGAATTTAGAAATCAAAATGTACTGACATTTCTTTCTGACATTGCACTGTGATGTCCCCACCCTCCTCCCCCATGTTCCCAAAGCAATGGGAGATTCAAAACTAATTATAGGTTATGGAAAAATCTCTCTGGAAGAAGGAAACAATTTTTTTTTGATGATCCAGCAGGTAAGGAGGTACATATAAACATTTGAAATATTATAACCCATGCTCCACATAAAGATATAAGCTTCAGCAGCTTACTTAGGATGTATGTGAAGCTGAATTTAGAATGTATGTGGAGAAGGAAACCACAGACATTGGGATCCAAGTAACAGGAGCCTGCTAACACTTCACATGACAGCTCCACAAAAGATCATGTGTGAGACTTGTTTGGAGGTTAAGCTGACAGTCGTTGATAGTTCCTGTAAACTCCACCAAGGATGTACTGGTTTAAGAGGAGAGTTTCATTGACCTCATATCTCACCCTTAGAAGATTCCCACAGGGCAGGAGCTGGAAGAGTACATTATGAAAATAATTCTATGTGCCTGTGTTAAGTTCCTAGAGCTGCTATAGCAACTTACTGTAAACTGGCTGTCTTTCAAAATCAGAAATTTATTCTCTTAAGTTCTAAAAGATAGAAGTCCACAATCAAATTGTTGACAGAGCTATGGTCTCTGGAGACTCGAGGGGAAAATTCTTTCTTGCCTCGTCTCCTAACGCAACTCCAATCTCTTCCTCCCTTGTTCTGTGGTATTCTCCCTGTATGTCTGTGTTTCTGTTCAAATTTCCTCTTCTTATTACGACAACAGTCATAGATGAAGGTCCACTCTAATCCAGTGTGCACTCACCTTGATTTATTTGCATTTGCAAAGACCCTTTTTCCAAATAAGATCATACACTGATAAAAAAGAAAAAGAAAAGTGAAATAAAGTGCCTTATTTGACAGGCTATTAAGAAATTCCTGCATTTTAACTCTTTGGAGACTATGGATAAAGATACATACTTCTGACTTTTTTTTTTTTTGGTTAGTTTCCTAAATTTACTAGCTCTCTAAGAGTTAAAGAACTAAGATATTTTTAAAAAGTTAAATGTGGGTCTCCCTGGTGGTGCAAGGGGTTAAGATACAACCTATGAAGTTGTCCACAGCCACTGCAGCATGAGTTCGATTCCTGGCCAGGGAGCCACACACATGGCTCAGTAGACCTCTCCTGTCTTGCCCATTGCTCCCCTCAGCATATTTCAGTCAGTCTGCCTGTTCTGTTCCCCGCTCTGTCTCTGGCGAATCCCCTCACCTCCCACACCTCTGGCCTGTACCCCAGTTCTTGTATGCATAAATAATTAAATCTTTAAAAAAAGGTTAAGTGTTATGAAGAAAATCAGTGTTTTCTGAAAAGAAAAATTAAGCCCTGTGTGAAAATATCACATCAGTAGCAGCAGGCAGTGGTTAATGTCTTATACATCAGAGCTCTTTTTCAAGGTCTTCAGAAACATGCTTAAGTTTTAGTGAAGCTGAGATTTATGCAGACTAGGCAATTGACTCCTTGAATAACCCATGAGGCCCTAAATGGGATGTTAACATGAGGTTTTCATCTTTGTGTTATTCATTGAGGTTTTTTTTTTTTTTAAAGAGGCATGTATTTTTATTTATTTATTTATGATTTATTTATTTGTTTGTTTTGTTTATACATGCACTGGGTACAGTCAGAAGCGCGGGAGGGTGAGAGAATTCACCAGAGCCAGAGCGGGGAGCAGAGCAGGCAGAAGGACCGAAGTACACTGCTGAGGGGAGCAGCGGGCGGCAGGAGAGGTCTGCGCGCCATGTGGGACCCTCCTCCGGTGGCCGGGGAGCAGCCGGGCATGGAACCGGCGCTGCAGAGGCTGCGGGCAGCTCCGCAACCCAGCGCTCAACCGCTGCGCCACCGGGGAGGCCCCTTCATTGAGGTTTTAACTGTAGTAAGTTCTCAATGTAGAGTCAAATTATTTCAAAATGGCCTGTGAATAAGATGATAAAATCAGTATGCGGCAGTTACCTATCACTTAAGACACAGAATTTATATAAAGGAAGTTAAATAAAAATTGAGTTTTATTATAAGAAAGAAAATATCAACATCAACAAACAACTATGAACCAGAGACACTCTATGGAGGGTGGGAGGCGGGGAAAGGAGGGCTTGGGGTCAAAATAAGGGGGTTGTAATTGTATGGGGAATATAAAAATAAAATTTAAATAAAATGTGAAAAAAATAAAATGTCAGAAGGAAAAAGAAAAAAAATTGAGTTTTATATATATACACACACATATATATAATGTGTTATTTATACATAAACATGAAAAAATGACCCTTTAAAAAGGATTTCTACATGAAGCTTGTCATAGTCATATACTTTGTCTCCCAGGACATAAAGCCCTCCTGTGAATCCTTTGTGTCGTCTTCAGCTAATCTTCTGGGGGGAAAAGGAAATGAATTATACCTTAAGTTCATTGTTGAAATCAAATATGTTTAAGTAACTTCCTAAGCTTGTGGTCCTAAAGCAGTTCGGGAGGATGAAAAATGTCTTTGGGTTATCATGGGGCTGGCTTGTCTCCACAAGCCAGCACTCCTAAACTCTATTTTCATTTCAGAGTCATTGTTGATTTCATTAATGGAATAAATTTTAAAATTTGTAAAAAAAAAAAAAAAAAAAGGACACGTGACAAATTTCAAACAAGTCCCCTTTTCTTTTTCTTATCTCTATTCTTCCCCCCACAATGCACATTCTGCTACAGTCAATGTTTGGCCCCTAGACCATGGATTTTGATGTCTATTAGATCATGGAAAATCAATATCGCTTGGGCAATGAAGTTTTGTGGATAAGGAGATTGTACTGAAACAGTTTCATGTATTTGTCTATAGCTCAGGAAAAGTACAGAACTGGTGGAAAATCCCTGGAGGAACTGAAGCAACCACATGGGTCTAGTGGCAGATGAATAGAGCTGCAGTTGTCAAATAAGCTGGCACTGAATGAGATCTCTCCAGCTTAAACTCTGAATCAGAAGAACTGGGGAAGGGAAATTTGAGGATTTTTTTTAAAACTTTTTTTTAAAGATTTATTTATTTATGCACACAAGATCTGGGGTACAGGCCAGAGATGTGGAAGGTGAGAGGATCCACCAGAGACAGAGTGGGAAACAGAACAGGCAGACTGACTGAAATACACTGCTGAGGGGAGCAATGGGCGAGACAGGGGTTGCTCCCTGGCTGGCTGGGGATTGAACTCTTGCTGCAGAGGCTGCAGATAGCTTCATAGTACTGTGCTTAACCCCTTGCGCCACCAGGGAGGCCTGAAATTTGAGGGTTTTTATGCTTCTGTGGAAGCAAGGAAGGGGAAATTCACTTGGGCAGCATTAAATTCTATTAAAATTTGATCATTCTATCAAATTTCAAATGTTTTGCCTTTTAAAAATAGATGGTTGTAAAAATAGGTGGCATGGTATCATTGGGTGGTGTCATCTAATAAACTAGATTTGAAAATATAACTGAACAGTAAAGTGTGACTTGTCCTGTAGAATATAAGGTAGCTATTGAATAAAAAATGAAAGTTCTGCCTTGACCCATTTCAAAGGCTTCAGAAGTGGTATCAAAGAGGCATTCAAGAAGGCCTTGAGGAGCAAGACAGCTTGTCTTATTTGCTCCAGACCAGTGTCTGGGAGGCAGGCCCAGAATGTGTGGCAGGACTTGTCTGATAGTACCTTGATCTCCTCTGGAACACCAAGAAGGTACACTGTGTTCCAGGAACAACTGATACAAAATGGAAAAGACAAGACAAATTCTGAAAAACTCGCCTATTTCAAATCTAACAAGATACTAGAAAACATTTAAAACATAAAGCAGGCCACATAAAAATTTAAACTATTTCTTCCATGGCGAAAATGAAGGCAAAATCCAAATCACAAGCCAGGGAAAATATTTCATGCCATTTGATAAAGGGTTAGATTAGATATACGTTATGTATGTGTGTATATGTGAAATACATGTGTGTATATCAAATATATATGTGTGTATATGAAATACATATGTTTCATATATAAATATATGAAATGAACCACTCCCTAGAGGGGGAAAAATGAGAAAAAAACAT